GCTATAAGTGTGAATTCAGGAAAGATTCTTCATGTCTGGACTGTTTGGCTTCTAACAAGGTGGAATGACTGAAGAAAAAGTTAGAGATCCCTAAAGTTATTATAGATAGCCTGAGAGACTTTTGGGAACTGGCAGATCACTACATCTCTGCTACTCTTTGGACTGTGACTCGCTTGCGTGTAGGGGTGCTGGATTAATTTGTGTAGTGAGGGTACTGAGAGACAGTGAACCAAAGCATAAGCACTGTATACAACAGACAGAGCTGGCCTTATCATGAGGTGAACTGAGGTGGCAGCCTCAGGTGCCAGACTGTGGGGCGGTGTATGGGACTCTACTAGGACCCAGAGTGTAGAAAATTGTGTCTGCTGCTGGTGCATATGTATTCTTTCTGCTGTAGATAAAGAGCATGGGGTAGGTAGCAGAGCAGTACCATGAGAGGAGTAGAACAGGAAGAAGGCAGAATTGAGACCTTTCAAAGTTTTGGCCCAAGCGAAGGGGCATAGGGGCGTCATTTGAGCTCCCTGCCTCAGATGCCAAAATGTTGTGGGCTGGCCCTGGCAACAGAATCCACTTCAAGTCAGAGGTGAGGCAGTACCCGAGTTTTCCTAGTTCTGGCACCCATTTTTTTACCTGCTTTAACATCTCAATAACTCTCAGCCCTTTTTCTTAGATGACAAACCTTTAGGTAGTTTACTATAGAATTGGCTGCCAGCATTTTTTTGCTGTACCAATTGAGCTGGAGTGAGTGACTGGTTTTTAGGGACAAGGAGCAACCTGAATGTGGTATGATTTTTGGTGTAAGTGCCTGTTTACCACAAAGGCCAGTTTGTTTGGGAGCCCAAATAGACTGGAAACCCTCAAGGGATTGTCTGGGACGCCGTGGTAGACTGGAATTCTGATCCAGGAGTTCACATTTGTTACTGGCTTGGTGAAATCTAATTATGGAGTACATCACCAGTTGGATGTCTGCCCTGTTTTCTCCCAGTGTTGAGCCACTTCAGACAGCATGGCACCCTTCACCAAAATGGATCCATTTGGCCCAGCTGCCTTAGGCCCCCAGAACCAATGCCGAGACCTCCGACTCTCCAGAAGTAGAATCATGCCATTTCTCAAAGCTCCAACCTTGCAGGCACTCTGGGTTTGCCAGATACCTCTTCAGAGACATAGCGGAATCAAACAGCCACTGGAATTTTGGAAAGGTTCCAAAACCAATCTTCTTTACTTTAGCCTAGGTAACACAAGAAATATTCATATTTACACAAAACAATAAAAAACCTGCATATGTTGTCTTGCATCTGTTTCCTCACTATTCTTGAGCATTCTTTGTGCTTTGGTCAGAGTCCTCCAATGCGTCCAGGATCTCCCGTCCTCCAAGTGACTTCTCCCACAAATTGTGGACTCTCCTCAGGCATTCAATGATATAGAAATTTGATAAGATCAGCCAGAATCTCTATCTTCGTATGAACAAATAGGGTTGTAAAGGATGATTTACAGGTACAGTTAACCCAGTGTTGCCTCACTTTATTAAGGGGAAAGAAACCTCTTTTCCTTAGTTTGATAATTTGAGAACAACATGAGGATATATATTTTTTAACTACACATTGCATAGCCCACTGAAGGGCATTTTATTAACATGCATCCTATTTTAACACACACTACAGTTGTTAAAATCATATGTACTGTATAGAATAATGAAGAATTTGATAGTTTAGGAAGGTGTTTATTTTATGCAAACAGCAGGAAAACAAAGCATTAAATAACAGCACATTTTCATTTATGATGGTAATCGTCACTTAAAAACTACCACGAGATGGCACTGTGGTCATGCAGGTCAGGTAAAATTTATGTATATGCGAACTGCTCTTATATTGTAGTTTATTATGGCACTTAGTAATCTTAACCTTTATAATACTCCCCCGAGTCAAATGAATTTGGTAGGCTGATTAATACTGTAAGGAGCTTGTTGTCGGAGCTAAGATATTTACAGTCAGATATATATCACCCCTTCAAACAACATACATTTGTGTTGAAGAGAAATACATTCAGAAGAAAGGTAGAGTGATCATAATGGTCATGAGTTTATTAAAGGTCATAAAGTTCCTTGTGGTACTGTTTTGCTGTCTGACTCTCACAAGACATTTTAATATATTTTTCCTCTTTCAGCAAACATGGTTCTCTTAAAAATTACCAAAAACAAACAATCCCCAGCCCTTACTAGGTTAAAACAAACATCCAGTTTATGAAGGAATTGACATTTGAGTATTTCAGTATGCTTGGCCAGAAGTGGGATTTAAGAAAACAATAAAACTTTAGAGAACAATTTTACATTTAAAGTTTACAAAATACAACAAATATTCTTCTCATGTGTATTTACATAAACATATATATATTCAAAATAGAATGCATCTTACTATTAGGCACCAATTAAATATATACAGTACATGATTGGATGAACAGTGTAAAAATGGAGAATTTTTTGCTCTAGCACAGTAGTCACACACTGAGGAAATATTCTCTACAGAAGCTTAAAGTCACTGTGCATTTTTCAGATTTGGTAGAATTGTTACTGAACAGCAGCAGTTGGTTGAAACATTTTAATTAAAGAGTTTTTTTCTCCATCAAAATGCTATTAGATTGAAAATGCTTCTTATATCAGGGTGGACAATAACACAGCAGCAATTTGGGGCGGTTGCTGCTTTATTTACCTGCACCTCCACAGGTATGGCCACAGATTGCTATCCTCAGCCCATGGGAGCTGCAGGAAGCAGCATAGGGTGGAACACCACTTCCTGTAGCTCCCATTGGCCCAGAATGGCGATCCATGGCCAACGGCAACTGCAAGAGCCAAGACCTGCAGAGGTGCAGGTTAATACAGCAGCGGCAGCCTGCCAAGGGGTAACTCTGGTGAACCATGTCCAGCCTGCAGGCGGGTTATTGTCCACCAATGTTTTAGATCCAGGATGGAAGAGAGACAGAAAGAGAGAGAGAGAGAGAAAGAGACCTTGAAGCCAGAATAGCTAACAGTTTGCTGATTAAGATCACAGAGACTTGAAATCGGGTTTCCCATATCCCAGATGAGAGCCCTAGAAGCTAAGATATGCTGCAGATAGGGGTGACACGTGTCTCTTATTTTTTCATGAAAAATGTCACGAAATCTCATGTTGCTCTGATGCATAACCAAAACGAATTTCAAAATCTCAATTTTTGTAATGAAGTGAAATAGCTTTTCCCCACAAGCACTAATAAGCAGTACTGCATTTCAGTTCAAACAGTGGCTAGATATCCTCAAGGTGCTATAAATTCTGGACTTGAAATTGCTAAATCCTGATGTGCACCAACAATATAATTTATCTTTTGTTGATATCGATTTATTAACTCCATTACTGCAAACTAGAGGTCTGTTGTCCTTACTCAGACAAAACTCATTGAAGTCTATGGGATTATTGCCAGAGTAAGGCTGCAGGATCAGATACCATAGCAATCAAATAGTCAGAGATATTTATGATGAGCCAGCGGCATTCATCTTTGTCTGTTGGGTATTCCATCATCTTTGTATGAGACACTTTTTGGACTAAAGTTGTTGATCTCTCAGCATAAACAACTACCTCAGAGCTAACAACAATAAACATCAAGAATCATATAACCATGCCTTGTACATTGCTTTCCAACAGAAATATTACTCAGAGTAATATTAATGTTAGATATTTTATTTTAATAAGTTTTGAAGTATCATATATTTAATAGGCTTCCTCTAATGAAAAGTAAAACAACTGAAAGAACTTTATAACATTTCCTATCAGTTTGCAAACTGAGCAATGTACAAGACATTGTACTAGAGTTAGTTACATACAGAAAATGAAATTTTCTAGAAAGGGTGAGTCTACTTTTGTTGGCCAATGTGAAAAGTTCAGAAAATAAAAGGTATAAATTGTGGCAATTAAATGCTCTGTTATAGCTGTTAAGCACACCCTGGTGGTAGTGATTGTATGAAGAAGCATTCACCCAATCAGGATCTTCAGAAAGTATTGTGATTCAGGTAACACCATAGCGCTCAGATCTCTCAGGTATGCACTAGCAGTGAATAATGATTGCACTGAAGTCAGTGTAGGTTGAAATGTGACATGTTCTTGACTCCCCCACCATGCACATAGTACAAGGCCATGACAGGCACTAAATTATATTTTTAGCATTGTTTCATTTTTCATCACTTATGGGAATTTGGATTGGGGCCAGATCCTAAAGTCCTCACTCAGTATTTACTCACTTCTTGTGCTGATGAAACTCAGTAACTTAATGAAGACATTAGGGTTTGGCTCATAATTTTTGACCTAATAGTGATCCTTTATTTTCAGTTGATAGGCTCTAAAACTGGACTGTACCTTGCTCTCCTTATATCTGTTTGTAAAGTCCATGTGTCTAATGTTTGGATGCAATCCTGCAGCTAGGAGCAACAGCTGTAATTTTACTCCCACACAGACATTCTGCCCATACAGAATCTAACTGTTTTCAGTGGAAATGCATACTGTACCTGGTTGTAAATGTCTGCATGATTAGGCCTTTTTATCAAAGTAGAATATTTGATGCTTTTAAAATGATCTAACTACTCTGTCATTCAACCTGGGCAGGTGAAATCCTACACCATTTTCAGAATCCCATTATTTTTAGGTGGGCTGATGGTGCCTCCGTCAACCCCGGTACTCCACGGGGTTCAAGGAGTCCCTTTGACTTCCTGCAGTGGGGATGCTGCAGAAATTTGACTTAAGGTGGACTCTAGCTATGCTATTTTCATATCTGGAGTTGTGTATCTTAGGTCGATTTTCTCACATAGTGTAGATCTGACAGTGAAAGGAGCCCAGAATTCCTGAGCAATCTTCTAACAGCAGCAAATTGTTAGGAACCATATTCTAGTAATAAAAATATTTTATTTTTAGTCTTCTAATTATTCTCTGTATGAAAACATTAAAACAAAATGAGAAAAACCCCATAGTAATGTCCTTTCTGATCAGGCAGAAATGGGGGAAATATTCTATTAAAGTCCACTCCGTACTCCTGCCAAACTACCACTGAAGTTAATTACATTTGAAACCTATGGGAGCTGTAAAGAGAAATGTCAACAGGATTAAGCCTGACATTAGTTAGCAACGTTGGGCATGATTTTCCAGGCTGTTACCTCACTGACACTGTCATAAAAACAGTATAATGGAGTAGAGAACCAAGTCTTTTTGTAACAGTATATTTCAAAGTCTAAACCAGTGCATGTGAAACATTTGGAATAGGGGGTAAAATGAAGAGAAAGTAGAGCTGAATAAAGTTTGTTGTGACAAAGGAACATTCAAATTTAATTTGCTTTTGAAGAGAATTAACTTGGAGTACAGAACAAATGGCAGAAAGCCCAGCAATATTTCAGAATTGTAATTGGGAAGGAAAAATACCCATAAAACACATTTTTCACATAGTTGATCTATACATATTTTTATAGCATTTTCTTTCATATTTAATTAATTTAAAATATATATTCATAAATTAACTGACATTTTCTTTTCCTGTAAAATTCTGTAAAGTGCTCATTCAGTTAAGGATAATAAAATTACATTGTAGCAAGACAAACTAATTCAAACCTAACCAGCAAGTAAACCAAACAGTAGCTTTGTTTTCATTTGCAGAACAAAAAGAAACACATTAATTTTTTTCACAGCCCATGGTATAATAATACAATACATTGCATTTTTTCTTTAAGAAATATATTATTTAGAATACTAAAAAAATAAGTTTATTAAAGCCTGTGCTTAAAACAGCTGAAGTACTGTATGAAAAAAATGCACATTTGATAGCATTTTAACCCTGTTTGTCATCAACTGGATAACATGAGTATGTGATGTTATTGAAGTTCTCTTAGAGCTAATGTTCCTAAGCTATCAAAGCTTCTCACAGTTAGGTGAAGTTCTCTGAGTACATACCATTGGTTGCCATGGCAGCTGTTGACAGGCTGGCAGAGTCACACACAGCTAACCTTTTCACTGACTGGGCTAATACTGCCCTTTGAGGTACTATCTAAAGGATGTATTCCAATTGCAACCATAGAATAATCCTTGGCCATCATTTTAGCCTCTTTTTTTAAACTCTTCATTTGTGCTAGCTGGAGCTGGCTGGAGTTATATGCTAAAGCAGGTATAGTGTTCACTAATATCAGCTGTAAAGGCTTCTTCTCCTCCTTGTATCGACACTGAATATACCGTGAGAAAGCAGAACGGTAGGTTTTATTGAACAGTGTGTATACCAATGGGTTGACAGCTGATGAAAGGTAGCCAATCCAGACAAATACATTAAGCAGTACTCCGATGACTTTTTCATTGCAAGACTTCTTGCAAATGACTGCCATCACATTGGTGATGAAAAAGGGGCACCACATCACAACAAAGAGAAAGAAGACGATACCAAGTACCTTGGAAGCTTTTTGTTCATTACTGATAGACTGCATAGTCCTCCTTCCTGAGTTCCTCAGGTCTCTGTTCAAAGAGCGTTGAAAGAGTTTCTCTGATGACAGAGAACTTTGAGGGAAAAAACTAAATGAAGCAAACTTGGTCTTTGTGCCTAGGTCATTAATGCATAAGGTAGCTTCTTTCTGGAGTGATTTTATAGTTAAAAAATAGGTGACCACCATGATGGTTAAAGGAATGAAGAACGCCACAAACGAGCCTATTAAGACAAAGCTCTCATCAGCCAGCAGGCAGCTACATTTCTTGAACACTTTGGAATCATCTTGTAGTCCAAACACAGGGACTGGCATTGAGATACCTGAAGATTGATTAGAAAAAAGAAACAGAAAATATCATGCACATTAATGATAATAAATAGCAAAAGTGCACATTAATTGACAAAGCATGAAGAAGCGCGGTATGCAGTTACTGAGCATAACCTATAACTGATACAAAGATGTTAAATGAAAAGACACTCTAAAACTAATTCAAGTATTTAGAAACCACTCCCCAGTGTCTCCAATTCACGTGCAACACTGCTGATCCCCTTACTGTCTCACCCTTTGCGCGAGGTCTTCAGGGGTTACCACAGGGAAATAATGCTGATTGTATGTTTGGTCTTGGAGCATGTCTTTTTTTGGGAGAGAAGCCTCAGGATGGTCGCTATTGTCCCCCAAGCTGGACACTCACCAAACTGCTGGGTTTGGGTCCCACTGTACTCAACTTTCCCATGGCCTAAGGAGGCTGCAGCACTGTCTCTTTCCCAAGCTTTCTGGTATCTGTTCGTGGCAATAGGGCTTGAGATCCCAGTTAGCTTAGGCCACCAGGACCTGTACTGACCCGCTACTGGTCTGGAGCTTGAACTTTGGGACTCTCACCAAGTCTGAGAGCTTGGTCTGGAACCTGAGCCCCAGCAACTTCATAGCAATTTTTCAGCCATGAGCCCAAATGTAGACACACTCTCAGGCTCTGTGATAAAGACCCAGTATTAAAAACTTATCTCTTAATTCTTTTGTCTGGGGATTTTCCACTCTCCCAATTCCAGTCCCCTACAAAGAAATTGCAGAAAACTGGCTTAATCTAGGCAGGAGTTGCTTTCCAGGTAAGATCTGTTTAGCTCCTGATAGACTATAGCAATTAGACTATTCATGAATAGATGTGTTACCTCCACTCCCCTTTCTCCTTAGCACAAGATAGAAGATAGTCATAAAACGTGAGGGTGCAGGCAATTTATAAAATCAAACTGGAATCCATAAATTGTATACAGATTCCCCAAATTGTCACAACTACCCTATGAAGTGGCTGCAGTTTTTACCCTACAGAGACCCGATTGAGAGGTTGGGGAGAGAGAACAGGACTTTAAAGTGATTGTTGTGTTTGCTGTCCCCCACTAGTGCTGGGGTTGGGGTGATCTTTGGCCAGATAGGGCCACATCCTCTCTTCCTGGCTGACAGATCCAATTTGGTTGTTTTTGCACCACACAACCCCCTTCATAAAACCTGTCCCTGGTGCAGGACTGAATATTGCTTCTCCTATGAACTGTGGACTTAATGGGCTTGAGGGAGGAGAAGAGGCCCAAGAGGAATGGAGTTTACAACTTGGCTCGGTACTTTATTTACATGACTGTAATTCAACATATATTTCAAGGAAAGACACCTAATGTTTGCATTTCTGTCCTTTCTTCTCAGGGGTTCTGCTGGGATATAGCAGCTTTAAATTGCTTATAGTGCTCCAAAAGAGCCCCATAGGTCTAAGGCAGTGGTTCTCCAATTTTAGTTCTAGACCCTAGTGGTCCCTTTCACATAGCAAATCTCTGAATACAACACCCTTTATAAATATATAAGTAAGTTTTTCATTTAACACCATTTTAAATGCTGGAGGGAAAGTGGGATTTGAGGTGGGGAATGACAGCTCACAACTTCCCATGTAGCAACACCTTGCAATCCTTTGGGGGGAGTGTCCTACCCCCAGTTTGAGAATCTCTGGCCAAAGGCGTCGGGGGGATGCACGAATCCAGGCTGACTTACTGTTTGCAAACCAGTGGAGCACAGTGCTTGTATCATTGATATAGATCACCCTTCTTTGATTATTACGATTATCTCTGCCAAGGTTGACTTGAACTTGAACTGTAGCAAAAACTTCAGACATTTAAAGAAAAAGACCCTCAGGCCTCCTACAAAGGACTTATCCGACCCCATGGATCGTTTGTAGCTGGGTGTTTGTAGCTTAGTCAGAAGCTATAAGCCAGAGCACTTTAAATTTCCAACTGAAAAAAGGCCCAGCTGAAGCCTGAACTCCCTATAGCAGTCCCAGAAGAAAGGGGGAGGCAATGTGGATTGTAGCTGATAAAAGCATTTAAGAGAGCAGCTGGAGATGGGCAACGGGAGATGGTGGTAATTTTGAACGTGATGACAAGAGATCCCGGGCTTCAGAAGCAGGATCACTGCTATCATTGTTGATATCAAGTCTTTTTTGACACAATTTCATACATGTAAATGTACCCTACTGTGGGTTTTCTGAAGGAGTTTAAGGGTATGTCTACTCTGCGGTGCTATTTTGGGATACTTCTGATATCCCAAAATAGCTATTTCATGTCTTTCAAAATATCTTTCATAATAATGGATGCGCCATTCCGATGTCCCTATAAACCTAGGAAGGGACATTTCGGTATAGACAGTGCCAAATTACTAAATAAGCTATTTCAAAATATACTCAAAATAAGCTACATAATTTGCATAGTGCAAATTGTGCAGCTTTTTTCGAGGTAAGGGTGCTGTGTAGATGCTGGAGGGATTTCAACCCCAAGGTGGTTGAAATTCCCAGATCCTATTGAGTTTCAATGTGATTTGTGCACCTAATTCCCCTGGGTATGTTCCACGAGGTGTACAGATAGTTCGGAATGGCTAGCTAGTTCGAACTATCTAGCCCGTGCCGCGTGTAGCCGCGCGGCACGGGGTTCGCACTAGCCGGCTTTTAAAAATGGCGGCGCTGGCTTTATGCTAATGAAGCCCAGGAAATTCAAATCCCGGGCTTCATTAGCAAGTGCGGTATGCATACATTACCCCGCTAGTTCAAACTAGCGGGGTAGTGTAGACATACCCCCGGAAAGAAATCCTAGTCTCTCAACTTCTTCAAGTAGAAAAATGGAGGTAAAGAATTGTCCTGTATTTTGAGACCATTTCTGCCCCCCCTCCTCCTAGAAAAGTTCTTCTTGGCTAGCAGGTAGTGTGCTCTGTCTGCTACTCATTAGTCCCTGGATTGTTACGTTGTCCTCCCACTCGTTTGTCCAGCTAGTTATCTGTTATCCTGTGCTTACACTGCGAGTTCCTTAGTGCCATTGTAAACCACACACCTAAAGTGTGCATCTAGACTGGCAAGATTTTGTGCATAAGCACTTGCTTTTGCACAAAAACTTGCTAGCTGTCTACACTGGCCGCTTGAATTTGCGCAAGAGCACTGACGTTCTAATGTAAGAATTCAGTGCTTCTTGCGCAAATACTTTGACATTCCCACTCAGGGATAAGCCCTCTTGCACAAGAATACTTGCGCAAGAGGGCCAGTGTAGACAGACACCTTAATTTTTTGCACAAGAAAGCCCAATGGCTAAAATGGCCATCGGAGCTTTCTTGCGCAAAAGTGCATCTATACTGGGCACAGATGCTTTTGCGCAAAAGCACTTTTTGTGCAAAAGCATCCGTGCCAATCTAGACGCTCTTTTGCGGAAATACTTTTAACTGAAAAACTTTTCCGTTAAAAGTATTTCCGCAAAATCATACCAGTCTAGATGCAGCCCTAGTGTGGTTCACTATCCCATGCAATGGCACTTAGAACACAGCAACAGTTAAGAACAAGAGATCCATTACAGCAGGGACTGAGAAGAAGTGGGCTTTTAGCTCAAAGTGTAGAGGCTCCTACACTAAGCTCTTGAAGTCCTAAGTTCAAATCTGCATGGTGGTGGTTACACCATAACAGTCTCTTTAGTTCATGTGTGTACAGTGTCTAGCACTGTGGAGCTCCGATACATGGTTTGAACATAGAGGTGCTACCACAGTCCACATTGATAATAGTATTTAACAACAGAATGTAACACATTAACATTCATTCTGTTGTTTGGAATTATCAATGCCTGTAATAACACAATCATGCTCTTTATTATGTTAATACTATAGTTATGTATTTTCTCAGCTCAAAATTGAGAGTCACAGTGACAGCATCAGCCATGTTACAAAAAAAGTGCCACTCTTATCTGTGCAGAGCAGAATTTGGTGGCCGGCTTGTGGTGTAGCCCAAACTATTTCTGTTGTTCCGTTGCAGAAACCAACACAGAGTTACTGTCAGAAACATCCACCTCCTGGAGAATTTTACATCATGGGACCAATACAATGAGAACCCCATGCAACCCAACTGAAATTACAGGCTGTGTAACCCAGAATGTATTTCTGACCCACAATCTAGTCAATTCTACACAAATAGGCATCTACTAGAAATATATTTGTATGTGATATCTGAGTAATTACGTGCCCAGATGTATGAGGTGCTGACTACCTGTTGTGAGATGCTGAGCTCTCTCAATTCCAATTGACTTCATTGGCAAACTGAATGACGGTTGAGGAAACTCAACTGCTCACTGTATTAGGCTTTAGGCATGTGCAAAAATATAACAATCAGAGCAATACCATAAGTTCCCCCAGCCAGTTCTGCCTTGTATAGATAACAGCAGTGCTCTTTTTCTCACTTGATTCAAGAAACTACTGTGAGCTGTGTAGATAAAATACAAAATGTTATCGTCAGGATAGAGTTCTTGCATTGCTACAGAGCATAATGATTCAAAAGGGCAGGAGTGCTATTAAGATGGTTAACAGTCCTAGAAAGTTGTCAATCTCAGAATAATTACAGGATTTTTCAAGTACAAAGCCAAAGTGAAACCTGTGAAAAGATAAAACATCATGAAGAAATAATCCAGTCATTCTAGGCTCCCTTAAATGAGCATCATAAAATGCCCAAGATCCACTCATGAGAACTGGGATAAAGGCACTGGTGGATATCCAGTGTTACTGTTTACTGCTTCAGTGATTGGTAAGGTATTTAATTATCCATCCATTTTGTTTGCTGTTGGTAATTTCTAGAGCATTGAGATCTTAAATTCAGATTTCTTGCTTTTAAATAACCTCATCACTGTGACTGAGTGGACACTATCTTCCGTTTTTAACTGCAGTTTTTCAATTTCATTACAATTCCCTTACCAAGTGTAATAAATAGAGTTCACAATATAGATTTGGCATTGGCAGATATAGCTGTTACATCTGTATTGTGCAAAAT